GAAGTTTACTCTTTTATTTTATGAATACTATCATCTCTGTCTGGAGGTTGCAATTTTTATTACATTTTTGAGGTGGTTGGGAGAAAGTAAAATGAGTTGAATTTTTCTTTGAAGGATTCAGTTCGTGAAGGAGCCCCCGCAAGTTGGAAGAAGAAAGAGAAACTACCTCAAGTTACCCGTTCATGGCATAACTATATGTGTAATGTAAGCGATAGGAACTGAATCATAGCAAAAGTTACTTAACATACTGAAGTGCATTTTTAACATGTATTAAATATTGCTACTTGTCATTTCAGACTGTCATACAGGATTTTCAGGCCTCTGTGCTACAGGTGTCCGATTCATCCTATGATGAACAGTAAGTACATTTTTTTCCCCGCACATTACCGTATCTGTTTCCACACAAATAATAAGTAGCAGCACAACTCTTTTCAACATAAGCAACGTTTTCTGAGCGGCAAATCGGCATATTAGCATGATTTCTGTGACACTAAAGACTGGAGTAATGGCTGTTGAAAATTCAGCTTCGCCATCACAGGAATAAATTACATTTTAAAATATATTCACATAGAAAATGGTTATTTTAAATTGTAGCAATATTTCACAATAGTACTGTTTTTACTACAGTTTGATTAAATAAATGCAGCACAAGGGACTACAAAATCTAAATTTTGAAAGCAAATTTTGAAAACAAAAATCACAGATTTTGCACTCACCGATTTTTGAACGGAAGTGTATATATAGGATTTACAAGTTTATATGTCATAATTCACTTTTATTGATTTTGAGTTTTTGTATATATTAAATGCTTGTCATCTTAATAAAAAGTAAAAAAAAAAACACATTGTTACAATCTGCCCTTTACAGAGTAGCTGCCCAAATGCCCACTGTTCACTATGAGCTGCCTAATGGGTACAACTGTGATTTTGGAGCGGAAAGACTTAAAATCCCTGAGGGCCTGTTTGATCCTTCAAATGCCAAGGTAAGACATATCATCTTTACTCTGTACAAGTTTTATTCTGAAATTGCTAGTATTAACTTTTATTAGTCTTAATTTTCACAGGGTCTATCAGGGAACACCATGCTGGGAGTCAGCCATGTTGTGACTACAAGTGTTGGCATGTGTGACATAGACATTCGACCAGTAAGATTTCAAAACATTGCTTTTTGTTCATTTACATGTCCTGTGTCTGTGCTGTCAATGCAAGTGACATTATGCTGCCCTTGTTTTTCTTTGACAGGGTCTGTATGGCAGTGTGGTAGTTACAGGAGGAAACACTCTCATCCAAGGGTTTACAGACAGGCTTAACAGAGAACTCTCGCAGAAGACGCCACCAGTAAGTGGCACTTTGTATTTTTGCTTTATAACCTTAGTCAGGGTAGCGCCATATTTAATGTCAAGAATGAAAATGAGGATGTGAGGGATATAATAGCGTGTGTTCAAAGCATTGCAGCGTTGTTAAACATACTTATTGTTCAGCGACAAAGTTTTATACGGTGTGCTGTTGTAAATACCAAGTCTATCTCTCATAGCCTCGTTTTCATGTGTTAAATTCAAAATGGCTGCATCCTGAAAAGGTCTATTAGAATGTCAGTTGGGTCTTCAGTGCTTTGATAACATGAATTGTTTTGTCCTCTCTGCAGAGTATGCGCTTGAAATTGATAGCCAATAACACAACTGTTGAGCGCAGATTTAGTGCCTGGATTGGGGGCTCCATCCTCGCATCGCTGGTGAGTATAATAAATCACACTCAAAATACCAACGTAGAGAGGCAGAGAGAGAGTTTGTAATCTGAGTTTGTTTCTGGGCAAACCATTCTGCAATGTGACTGGCTTTAGCAGGGGAAATGGTTCTGCTTAAGTTAAAGTCAATTGGACTCGACAGTGACTACGTTTACATGTGCACCAATTATGTAATTATTTTTAATAATCAGAGTAAGGTCTTATTCACAGTAAGATGTTTACATGACATGAGCAGAACTCTTCACTCTAGTTTACTTGCAATTTTGATTATTCGCTAATAAGTATGGTTATACCACACTTCGATAGGCATACAGTATGCATGTTAACATACTTGCATCAAATTAAAAAAAAAAAAAAATCATTGCCATGATGTACATCGCAATGCTGGGTTTGCCTTTGCTGCTGTTGCATCTGGAGGAAGATAGGGAGATGCAATTAAATGTTTATATGCTTGATTGTTGCGATCAAAATCAGCGTATGCCAAGTACTTTAATATGAAAATGGTTACTATGATTCACTCAATAACCCCATTATGAGGGTACATGTAAACACACTGAGTGATCCTTACAACTTGGCGAAGAACCAATGGTCTGTGGGCATTGACATGTCAGGAATTGTGTTTCCTTACATTTATATGTACCCAGGGAAATACATAAAGCAATGTCTGTGAAAGCTTTGTGCTAGACCACACTAAGTACAGTATAACTAGATCAAAATCTGGATAACTTCATAGTTGAAATCGAAATTATTCATCCCTGTTGCAAAATCATCCCAGGTTTATTGGCAAAACGTACATACTTTCAGGAGTTTGCAATGAACAACTCAAACAAAAGTAATCAAAATAGCTTAACACAACAAATGTTCCCCAAATTCAACTGAAAATGCAACTTTTAATGATTTCTGATGTTTTAAAATTATTCAACCCTTTCATGGTAAGCATTTTATTACTGGATAGAACACCCTTTTGCCTTCTGCAAATGAGGTATATAACCCAGACACAAGCTTCTGGCTGTGTTTCTGAGGAATCTTAGTCCATTCCTCATGAGATATGGCTTCCAGTTCAGTAATATTCTTGAGTTTGCATGCTGCAACCTCTTTCAAATCCCACCAGAGATTTTCTATGAGGTTCAAGTCAGGTGACTGTTATGGAATCTTCCAGGACTACGTCTGCAACCAAGCCTTGGTGGAATTTGAGGCATGATTGCATGGGATCATTGTCCTGTTGGAAAGGTCCAATCAATGATGCCCAGCTGCAGACTGATCTCATGAAGTAGCGTGTGTTTGACACGCCAATTCGTATTTCCATTTTTGGCGTGCTATCAAGACGCATAATCTCTTTTCAGCGTGTTTATGAACGCTGTTGACTTAACTTTATATAAATATATGACTTACCTCAACCCCATCCCTAAACTTAACCGTCACTGGGGTTAATGACATTTATGACTGGACATTTGCCGGCGTGTACAAACACGCGGAATGACGCGAACGTTAATGGCGTAGACATACACTGATACACACGGATAGCACAAACTGCGTAGAGATAACACGCCACTTGACTCAAAAGTGGCGTGTATGTTCATTGTTTACACAAAAGTCATGATGTCATGTTGCCAACTGACAGCATCCTCACTGACCGCATCAGATGACATTTTTATATGATCATTTTTTTTTTTCTTAGGGAACTTTCCAACAAATGTGGATTTCTAAACAGGAGTATGAGGAAGGTGGGAAACAGTGTGTTGACAGGAAGTGTCCCTAACCAGTTCCTGCAACACCAGGTTGCCTTCTGACAGAGATGAAAATAAGAATTATACCACCCAGTAGAAAAAGCCTTCTTAGTGGACTCAGGAACTAACAAGGACAATTGCTGTTATTTTTAGTGCAAACAAACCATATTTTAAACAGTTTATTGTGGTTGCACTATTTTCTACTCCTCCACATAATATTTTCATATCCAGTTTGGCTTTCCTGATCATCTGATTCATTCTAAATAAGTGTCAAGGTTGTGTTTTGGTACATGGGAATTATAATCCCTTAACTGTATCAGTGCTTAGGAAAGTTGATTCATTTTTTTTTTTTTTTTGCACCACCAGAAACCAAATGTTTGTTATTGCTTTTAACAAATCGGCTCTTTTGGGAATAAAATTGTTTGTCTTAAAATGGTCTAAATTTATCTCATTTTGCTTGATTAGGTTAGATTGTCAATGCGGTGATTCTGTACTTTTGTTCTCATATTTAGTACGTTTCGACTGGTTTATTCATACTTGCGTATTTAGAAAAATCTATACTTCATGTGTCCCTTGAACTCAAGAAGAGGGATGATTTTCAATCCTAATAATATACATCTTTGGAAAGACATAATTAAAAAAAGGTAACTACACAAACAGTCTCTGTTACAAGTTTGGTTTTATTATTTGACTGTACAACGTATTATGAGAAATGAAAAGTATTATGTGTTGAGAAGACAATATTAAATGTGAAAAGCCTTTTCAATGATCTCATGCATGTGCAGTCTTTTTTGGAAACATTGCTGATAGCTTTTTTTGGTTTCTCTTTTCTTTTTTATCTTTCCTCATTTTGTTCTTCAGGTATTTTTCAAGGCTTAACCTAAAATTCAGAACAGCAGAGTTAAACATGTCTATGCATCAAGAACATGCAATAATTTGTTTATAAAAATAAAATCTGAAAAAAATATAATAATAATAATTATATCATCTATTTGAATAAATCACATGTAAATAAATATTTTACAGAGCCCCTAGTTCATTCACAAAGAATGAAAAATATATGCAAGAAAATGCAACGTTTTGGGTTTGAACTCAAAAGCTTTGAAATATAATTTCCCCTTGGGGGCTCTGCACCATGTCCACTCGATTAAAATGCTAAAAGTTAAATTTTTACTTTGATGGGGTAACATTTTTCTATAGACCTGACTGAGACATACCTTGTGTAAGGGGCGACATGTGATGGTTCAAAGAATCGCCGCCTTTTGTACCTCGAATTAAGGTGCCAGGGGATTGGGTGTTCCATGAAGCGGTACCTGATGAACAAACATGATTGTAATTTGAGTTACACAAGATAGATGTGCAAAAGAGAATAATCTGCAAAAATGTATTTGCTTACCAGAAGGTTTTGCCAAAGACATTTCTTCGCCATGCGCCTGGTCTAGCTTTCTCTTGTCCTGTCTGCAGCAAGCGCAGAGCATCCTCACGTTCTTTCACAATAGTGTCAAGACGCATCATTGACTTTTCAACCTATTAAAAGAATTCAGAATGGATATAGTGCCATCCCGAATTGAACAAGCAAAGAACAGACACAGATTCACCCAGATGTGTTTAAACTTTAGAACTAAGAGCTGCTTGTTTTGGCTGTCATTTCATTAAAGAGTAAATCATGAAACCAAGAATACAACAGATACAACTTGGCAAGTTGTGCAAATATTTCCTTTTAGAACAGTGGGGGAAGAACTTAACTGGAAAAATCCAGTTTAGAGTTAAAAGTAGTTTTACTTATAAAAAGCACCATGGAAGTATGTATGCTACTTCTCAAACATTTAAGGTCAGTGAAGAAAAAAAAAAAGGTTTTGAAATAAGTCTTATGCTCACTCAGGGTGTATTTATTTGATTTAAAAGAAAATTTGGACTAATCTGCTCAATTCATGTAGATTATTATTTACAATCTATCTATGAATTTCACCAGATTTTATCAAAAATATTTTCATTTGTGTTCTGAAGATGAACAAAAGTCTTAAGAGTTTGGAAAAACATGAGGGTGAGTAATTAAGCACAGAATTTTTGTTTTTGGGTGAATATTTTTGTGGAAACCATGATGCATTTTTTCAGGATACTGATAAATGGAGTTCAAAAGAAATGCATTTATTTGAATTAGATTTTTGTGTAACCATGTAAAAGTCTTTACTGACACTTTTGATTGATGCAATAAAAGCATTTTTAAAACAAATAAAAATTGACCCCTAAACTTCTGAACACTAGTTGTACCATGGGAAGCACTGCATCATCACTGAACCATGGTACTGTCCCAGTATTCAAGGTTATTCCATTTTATCAACAGAAACTGCATTTAAATATAGTTTTAACATTGCATACCTTTTTGATGCGTTCTGGACTGGGCATCTGAACACACTGTCGTTTCCCCTCCTGTTCTATAGTAAGTAACATGTTCTTTTCCTTCAAGAGAACATACCTTAGAAATTCAAAAGAAATGTGGATGAATATTTGTTGCAATGTTTCTTAAAAGTCTTTAAACTGCAAATAAATAAATAAATTACCAAAGTTTGTGCAGATCTTCATTACTTTTCACCCTAAGCTGTTTGGCAGTCCACGGAGCACCTATGAGGTTACAAAAAATAAATCATGAGACAACAATATTAGTCAAACACAATCAAGTGACGATGGTAAATAATTATGACTATCTCAAAACCTAGTAGCTTTCTTATTTATATGTGTGTGTGAGTGTATTGGATGCCCCAAAAATGCTGTCTAAATGGGAGCACCTTAGACAACCAACAGCTTATAGTAACTGAACAATAAACATTTAGGTTAGTAACGTTACCTGATTTAACTGTAAGTTCACCCCAGTTCTCTGGCAGGTCAAAAAATTCTTCCAATCCTTTTCTAACACAAGATGTGTGGAGTGCTCTGTTATTCATGGGACTTCTGAACCACCACGAGTCACACATTTGTCTAAATTCCGAGAAGTGTGGAAAGAGATCAACATAATTGGTGACACACATGCTTCTTTCTATCTGTATCAAGATGCATTGACATTTAAGCCCGACATATAATCAGCAAGAAAAACATACCTTTGTTGACACGAGTGAAATGTGGAAAGCGCCTGTGTTGCATATTGAGGCTGTGTGTGTGAAGACACTTTGACAAAACGTTGAAATTGTCTGCAGATTGCAGTAGTCAAGCGACTCGTTACGGCCGCAGCCATCTTGACAATGTCAAACGAAATAATGAACGGAAACGTGCAGCGCCACCTGTCAGACAGTAGAATATTAACCACAAAACATTTCTTCCTGTGATTTCTCCACGTTAAAAGTTCTAACGTTTTTGTGCAAAAAAACAGGAAAAATAAATAAATAAATAAAAGTAGAAATAAATAAATGCAATAAATGTAGTGAAAATAAATACATTTTTGTAATATAAATGGCTATATCTGTATTTTTATTTATTTGTGCATTTATAGATGTATTTATGCAATTTTATAATTCATATAATTATTAATTATTTGTAACAAAATTTTTATTAAATATTTGTTTTTGATTTAATTATAATTATTTTATTTAATATTATTAAAATAGCATTTATCAGACTTATTTAAATTAATGTTATTATTATTATTATTATTATTCAATTATCATTGATTATTTTATTAAAATGTATATTTTTTATTAAGATTTATTTATTTATTTATTTTTTTGTCATTGGACATAACATCACATTAAATTTTATTGCAAGTGGAACCATTGTCCTGCACACTTATCTTTTATTTTTGATACTTTCCAAACGGCTTTACATATAAGGATTTGATTCTTTTAGTCTTTTAGACACAATTTAAACCCATAAGCATGAATTGAACAGAGTAGTTCAGCAAACTGAACAGTAAATCTGTACTCATCATGGTTTCAAGAATAAATATGATTCGAACTTTTAATTTGCCCTAAACTCCGCGTTAGATGAGCCAATCAGTGAAGCCCGTGTGTTCACGCGCACCCTCAACAGTCATGGTGGGCATGAGTGTATTGAGGACGGCGGCTGCATTTGCAGCCAGATTAAACCCGTTGAAACGAACATGTCAATCTTCAAATCTACTCTCCAGGACTGTTGCACGTTCAGAACAAGGTAAAGATTGTTATTTTTTTGCTAAATTCAGCGGTATGACCTGTTAGGGTGATTAAAACTAGCAGTGACCTTGCTTTGCTTGCTTAGCATGCCAAGTGCATAAGCTGGCCTTAACAACAATCCTCACTGTAAACCTTCAAATAGATATATATATGTATCTGCAAGCAATTTACTAAGTTAGACAAGCACAATATTTTGGCCCTCATTGTGTACGTAACACTTTCACTTTAAATTGTAAAAACGTGAACATATTATAACTTCTAACTGAACTTATATTGAATAAAAATAGCGTTTTGTCTGCAATTTAACTCAAAACATATTACAGTGATATGTTGACATGCCAAGCCCTTTTATTATTATTTATTTATTTTATTATTTTTGCCTTTTCTTTTACAGTTGTTGTCCGTCATGGGAGCCATGGTAAAAGGATGTTTATCATCAAGCCCACTGACTTCTATGACAGAAGATTTCTTTACCTGCTGGTAAAGCCTGTTATAAGTACTTTACTTCATTCGCATATTATTCTTGCTGTTTGTTCTTATTCATATAACTTTTTTTTTTTCAATCTTTCTCTCCTCCCTTGCTTCACTACACCAGAGAAATTACATTCTTTACACTGGCATCCCTGTGGCCGTAATTGTGACCTATGTTAATGTTTTCGTAGGTAAGTTTCTGATGTTGCCTTCCTGACAGTTTTTCCTTCCTGTAGTTGATGTACTTAATCATAGCTTGCCATAATATCTTGATTAATGTCTGCTATTCATTAAACAGGAGAATCTGAGCTAGCAGAGATACCTGAAGGCTACGAACCAGAGCACTGGGAGTACTACAAGGTATTATAAAATGTGCATAAAAACATCAAGTGTATGCCAGTAAAAATTGTCCATTGTTAATTGAAAACAAAAATAAATAAAATTGTGTTGCTATCATAATGATTCATGTCTTTTCTTTCATTTGTTGTTTTTATTATCACTTAGCATCCCATCACCCGTTGGATCGCACGTACCTTTTATGACAGCCCAGTGAAGGACTATGAAAAAATGATGGCACTTATCCAAATTGAGACTGAGAAAGCTGAAATGAGGTTTGTTGCCTTCACATGATTCAAGCCTAAATGAGACCATATAAATGACATATATGTCAATGTAAAACATCTTGTTTAATATTTTCTGCTGTTTTTTTTTTTCTTTCTTTTTTTTTTTTTTTTAATTTTATTTATGCAAATGTATATATACATACACGCAGTATAATTTTCTACAGTTTTACAGGTTTAATTTGTTAGCGTGACCTAACAATGAAAAATACTTGTAAAGGGTTAGTTAACCCAAAAATGAAAATGTTGTCATTAATGACTCAACCTCATGTCATTCCAAGCCCGTAAGACCTCCGTTCATCTTCGAAACACAAGTTTAAGATATTTTAGATTTAGTCCGAGAGTTTTCTGTCCCTCCATTGAAAATGTATGTACGAAATACTGTCCTTGTCCAGAAATGAAATAAAGACATCAAAGTAGTTCATGTGACACCAGTGGGTTAGTTGCAATGTTTTGAAGAATAGAAAATACATTTTGGCCCAAAATTAACAAAAACTATGACTATATTCAGCATTGTATTGTCTTCCGGAACTGTGAGATTACACGTTGTGATATTGCACAAAGCTTCTGTGTTGCACGTCACACGTAGGCTCACTATTGGGCGACGCTGGTCATTTTTGTGATGCGTGTGATCCTAGAAGCTACAACCTAGAAGCTTTGCGTAATTTCACTACGTGAAATCTCGAGGCCAATAGAGAAGGAAATGAATAGTTGAATAATAATATTAAATAACAAATTCATTATTTATGTTTGTTTTTTGCGCACAAAAAGTATTCTCGTTTTTCTAGTATTCTTGATAAACCTAAGATTGAGCCACTGTAGTCACTCTGACTATTTTAACGATGCCTTTCATAACTTTTGAGCGGGCCAGTTTCGATCCCTTAAGAAGCCTATGGAGGAGTGATCCTGCAAAAATATCTTAATTTGTGTTCCGAAGATGAACTGCTGCCTAAGCGGGATCGAAACTTGACGGCCCAGAAAGTCAATGAAGAAAATGTTTAAATATTCCATGTGATTACAGTGGCTCAACTATAAGTTTATCAAGCGACGAGAATACTTTTTGTGCGAAAAAACAAAAATAACGACTTTATTCGACTACTCCATTTCTTCCTTGTAGGCCTGAGACGAGAGTTCAAGAGATTTTCTTCTTGAACTCAACTTCAGCTCAGTTCTCGCGCATGCGTCGTGGAAATCTCTTGAACTCTCGTCTCAGGCCCAGAAGGAAGAAATGTTGGCTGAATAGTCGTTATTTTTGTTTTATTTCCACACAAAAAGTATTCTCGTCGCTTGATAAACTGATACTTGAGCCACTGTAATCACATGGAATATTTAAACATTTTCTTCATTGACTTTCTGGGCCGTCAAGTTTCGATCCCTTAGGAGCCAATGTAGCAGTGATCCACCTCTCAAATTTAATCAGAAATATCTTCATTTGTGTTCCGAAGACGATGGAAGGTCTTACGGGGTTGGTAAAGCATGGGGGTAATTAATTACTTAATTTTCATTTCTGGGTGAACTAACCCTTTAACTATAGTAAAGAATTAAACTTAAAGGAGTAGTTCACTTTAAAAAAAAAACTTTTGCTGATAATTTACTCACCCCCATGTCATCCAAGATGTCCATGTCATTCTTTCTTCAGTCGAAAAGAAATTAAGGTTTTTGATGAAAACATTCCAGGATTTTTCTCCATATAATGGACTTCATTGGGAACGGTTCAAGGTCCAAAAGACAGTTTCAGTGCAAACTGTTCAAAGGGCTTTAAACGATTCCAGGCGATGAATAAGGGTCTTATCAAGTGAAACGAACGCTCATTTAAAAAAAATAACAAAGTTTAAGTTTTATAAGCTCAAATGGTCGCCTTGCCCTGTTCTGTGATGTGCGTTCGTGACTCTCCTTTTCGAACTGTGTCTTGTTTTTATGTAACCTAATTGATGATATCTAATTTATTATTCACTATTTTTCTTGCAGAAAACAACAACTTGAAGTCCGCAGACACATGAGAGAAAAAGGAGATGGACCCTGGTTCCAAATTAAGACACTTGATAAGAATCTCATCGACAACAGCCCCAAGTCATCCCCTGATAACTAGGAGGGGTCATGCATACCTGTCCAAAATATTCAGGCATTATACAATGTATAATGTAGTTATTGATAAAAAACATTTTTTTTTTTTTTCTTTTCTTTGCCTCTGGCACCAATAAACTAATGATTATAACTAAGTCACTGCGCTTGTGTATTCTTTTAAGTTGTACATCAAGGATTTACCCCAAAATTCAAATTCTGTCTTCATTTACTCATTTCAAACTGTTCAGTGTGCTTTTATGTTTATAGAATCCTGAAAACTCATGTCTCCAGTCATTATTATTTCATGAAAAAGAGTGGCCGAATTATTCATAATTATTTTATGTCCAAAAGGTGTAGGGAAGTCAGGTTTTCAAGTTAACAAATACCAACAAAAGAATTGAAATCAAAGCCTAAATATATGTATTATTGCAGTAATGTACAGTAACCATAATAGTCATATGCACCACATCAGATGATGTCCATTATAAAATGGTTTCAGAACCGTGTGAATAAAATTAACTTTCATTCCATAAAATTACTCTTATTCATAAAATTACTTCTTCAAATTTCTTCTGCCTTTTAATATTTAAAGGGATACTTCAGGATGTAGCATTAAGCTTTGTATTAGAAGAAAACCTGTAGTATGTTCATTGTTCAAATTACCATGCTTTCCACCCTTATATCCTTGAGACGAGATTTATGTATTTTTTTGCCTTGAAAAAAATCCTCTGATGACGCAAAAATCGTCATTTTCCGTCATCTGAGGATTTTTTGGCCAGAGGCTAAAAACTACAGACAGGGTGTACCGCATGTTTTCAACCCGATCATTGGCATAGAGTGGAATCTCACTCACAGAATGTACACCTGATGTACACATAGTGTCAGCCATCTTTTTTTGGAAGCTAAGCTAGAAGACTCTTGTTCTGTGTTCTGGTTATCATCCTCTTTTTCCCGGACATGTCCGGCT